GCGCAAGTTCTGGATGACTGCGCGACGCATCTGAGCAGTAGTGTCATCGGTTGGTGTCCATAAGAGTGGGAGGAAGTGAATGCAATGTGATGCGGCTCACTAGTAACATCGTTGCCATGATCTCACGTTTGGCATCCTCAGCGCGCTGCTTCCTAAAGCGGCTTAGCTTGGTGCGGCGCAATTCCGCGCCGCACGCCGAATTCGCGAACCCGCAAATTAAAGCATTGTGACTGAGAACCACCGACGACGACGACACCACCCAGACCTCCTCACCTACCCCTCCCAGACGAACCACGATGTCGAAACAGACCAAGTCCAACAAGCCAGCCGCCGGCAAGTCGGGTCAAGGCCGCAGCGCCATTGAGGACGTGGTCGCGCGCGAATACACCATCCACCTGCACAAGCATGTACGTTCAGTTTGATGAAGTCCACGGATGGCCCCACCACTCTTCGCAAGAGGAGTGATGGGGCATCGGACGGAAGACTGAAGACAAGAGCACGAGATATCTAACATACCCGGAAGGTTCACGGCGTGTCGTTCAAGAAGCGGGCCCCGAGGGCCATCAAGGCCATCAGGACATTCGCTGCTAAGGCTATGGTATGTCGCTATCTACTCTTATCTACCCACCATACCGCTTTATCGCTGTGAAGCATGCGCTGACCCGCCATACTATCAGGGCACCTCCGACGTCCGTCTCGACCCGCAGCTCAACAAGAAGGTCTGGGAGTCCGGCATCAAGGGTGTGCCATACCGCCTTCGCGTCCGGATATCTCGCAAGCGTAACGACGAGGAGGGCGCCAAGGAGAAGCTGTACAGCTACGTGCAGGCGGTGAACGTCAAAAACCCCAAGGGGCTGCAGACCGCAGTGGTGGAGGACTCATAGACGCCTTGCATAGGGAGGAGATGATGCAGGGCCATGGATTTGCAAGAAGCTGGGGCGTTCAAGGGTACGCCATAACAGCCGTGGGTCTCGCATGAGCCTGCGATCTCCAAAAGAACGAGTACCACACCAGCGCATCATCTCCGTCGCGTCCCAAGGACTCCACGCCACGTCGTCCATTCCGCATCTTCCTGAGGCAACCTTCCATGTCATATTTTGCAAAAGAGTGGAAGGGCATGCAGCTCTTACAAGGAGCAAAACGATTGGGGGCCCGGCTGCGGTTCGAACGCAGGATCACTCACACGTAAGGCGCACCCTAAGCGAGTATGTTACCACTACACCACAGGGCCGTACCGTCGACCTGCCATGACCATCATGTTGTTGACAGCCGTAGCGCGCCGGTGAGGTACCGGCGACCCTTTCAGGCGCGCAGAGTCAACGCTATAACCGGAGTGAATCACGCCTGTAGCAGGGAGCCGCCATAACTGGAAGCCCGTTCGACTCGTAGTAGGTGCATCTGACACTGTTTTCGGTCCGGTCTCACTTACTCCGTTGCATTTCCTGACTCCCGTACGACATTTTGCAGTATTCGCGGTAATGTACCCCTTCCAGCCGTTGCCATGCCCCCGTCGGAGGCCTGAGGACTGACTCACAGCCGACCACCACGCTTCGCGTCAAGCAAGCCTATCACCCTCACATCTTCCGCAACGTCTCATCGCCACCTTGCCACCATTTCTGCGGCTTCTTAAGCAAGCTGTATCAGCGTTACACCTCGGGCACAGAGAACCGTGAGGGCGCCAGACCGCAGTGTTAAGCCTGTTCAGGATACGATGCTGTATCTAGGATGGGTTCCAGCGGCCTATGTATCGTACGAGGTGGAGGTATATGTAGGAACCTTGGAGAGTTCATAATCCATATACCTCATGCACGTACATGTATGGAGTGAAGTCACGGTTCGTGAATGCCTCGGTTGACGGGTATGGCCGGCGAGCTCCATATGGGTTGCCGCGGGGCGCTATGGACTCGATTGAAACCACGCAGCCTTCGAGACTTATATAATAGCTGATTACCTGCTTGCAGGCTCAATCACGTCTTACCAGTTAGCGCGTGGATCATAACAGCATGGCAGCTCTCGGCATCACGATCAAAGGACAATTGCCCTTGAAGCAGTCCGGCATATCGTCTCTGTTGGCCCTGCCAGCGACCTTGCGAACCACTGCGTATACTTCGGCGAACGCGCGATGGCAGTCCACAGCACCTCGCAAGCACCCGAAGACTGCCATCTTCTTCCCCGGGCAAGGCGTGCAGCGAGTCGGGATGACGACGGTGAGCATATCGCATCTCAGGGGCCCGGGCATGGGTTATGCTAACTTTGGCCGCTAATGCTAGGACTGGGTTGATGCATTCCCACGCACGGTCAAGCCAATGCTCGAGGAGGTGGACGAGACGCTAAAGGTGCCATTGAGTAGGATTATCGCCGAGGGGCCAAACAGCAGGCTCATGGCGACGGAGAATGCGCAGCCTGCCATCATGATCACCTCGATCATCATCCTGCGGGTGCTGGAGAAGGAGTTCGGCTTCAAGACGAACGAGCGCGTGGACATCACATTAGGCCACTCGCTGGGCGAGTTTGCGGCGCTGGTAGCTGCTGGGAACCTACGAGAGCCTGATGCTCTTCGGCTGGTGCGGAGGCGAGCAGAGGTGATGGCACGGTGCTCGAAAGAAGTAGGAGAGGAAGTTGGGATGGTCGCGTTGGTGTGCGAGGCCCCACATCTTGGGCCGATGGTCGAGGCTATACACGACTTCCTGGGTCACCACGGCGAAGGCTCGAAGGCGGACAGCAGTACTGACTACGACTTGCCGGCCGTGCAACAGGTGCTGATAGCGAACGTCAACTCGAAGAACCAGATCGTGCTATCGGGAAGCATCAAGCGTATCAACGAGCTCCTCACGCACCTCAGACAGTTCGCAGGCCATGACCCCCGAGCAGTGCGGCTTAAGAGCGATTCGCCCTTTCACAGCCCGCTCATGAAGCCCGCGGCTAAGTTGATGCAGCAGCTTCTGGACCAGCCGTCCCAGGTGGCGAAGGATGAGGACACGGTCATCTGGCCTGGCATTATGCCGTGCGTTTCGAACTTGTCCGCGCGACCGTTCGAGAGCAAGCAGCAATTGAAGGACTATCTGGCTCGGCAGTGCGTGGAGACTGTGCTGTGGCATGACAGCATTGTGTACTTGCATACGGAGGAGAAGGTGCGGAGATGGATTGGCATCGGGCCTGGCAAAGTCGGGCGGAATCTGGTGGGCAAAGAGGTTGGCATGAAGGGGGCGGTGAAGGGAGGCGGTGTTTGGGGCATTAGCGATCCGAGGGAGGTCGAGGCAATACTACGGGATCTGGATAGTACGGAAACCGCCGGGGAGGAGGAGTGAGCGAGTCTTCGCAATTGGGTAGTGAAGTGGAGGACGCTGGGCAAAGAAGTCTCTATGAAATTGACGCTGCGGCGCCTCAAGCTGCACATCGACGAGATGCTGCCCGTCCCTTTTTCCGCAGCGAGTCGTCGATGAGCTACGGAATCTCTCCCGAGCAATACTCCTCTATGCGAGTTGCAGCCCATACGGCAGCAAACAATCATTGCGACCAACGTGGGACTGCAGCAACGCAGAAACCCACTGAGCCTCGAACGTCACTATCACATGCGATCCAGGGTCCTCAAATGCGAAGCGCGGCGCATGGTGCAGTGCGGAAAGCCAGAGCTCACTTCACATAAACTCGCTTGGACATATTTGCACGCAAGACTCACCAGTTCTCGTGGTCACTCATACCTCCTGTCGAGTGTACCCGCAACAACACCATGGCGGCTCAACGTGTCTTCGACATAGGCGAACTTCGCGACAACATCCTGCGGTATCTGGACGAGCGGACACTGCTGCTTTCGCAGAGGGTCAACCAAGCGTTCGCATCTGCCATCGCGGAGTCTTCGGAGTTCCAGCGGAAGCTCTTCTTCATTGCTGAGGAACCCACCTCGACCGCCGGCGTCAGCGACATCGAAGGTAAGACGCGGGAAGGGCTGGGTGTATCTGTTGCGACCTATGCTGATCGTTGATAGTCAACCCACTCGTCGGAAAGCTCCTCACTCATCATCGCCTACCCGATCGTACCCACAAGGACACAACGGCACGCGCCCGTGTTGAGTTGAGCAGCAAGTTTCTCGAGCCACCGACCGCTGACAACAAGATGTACCACCTGAAGCATGCTTCCGGCAGCTGGCAGAGAATGCACTTGGTCAGGCCTGCGATTCGCCTCGATCTGATTATCTCCTTCGAAGGCTCGGCATTGGAAGGCTTCAGGAAGCAGGATAGCTTTGAAACAGTTCTACTCCGCAACGACCCGCAGCGACCGCTTCTCGATCTGATGGACAGCCAGCAAGTTCAGCACCAACTTCGAGCTGGTGGTGTCCTCACTCACGTGAAGTCGATTGCCACGCTCATCCATGCCGGGGTCCTTGCACCAGCCGGTCTCGCGGGCTGCAGCAAGTGGCTGCCCGCACCCGAGAGCGAGGCTGCGGGCCACCAGCGGAAGTTCGAAGATCTCCGAGGGTTGGTGTGGAACATCTGTCAGAACACGAGTGGGTAGCACAGGCGAACTCGCGGGCTAGAGCGCGCAAATACAGCTTCCGGTGCGCGGTCGAGGAGTTGGAGGGGAGAGAGGGTCAGCATTACAAGGAGAGCGACGAGTTAGTGCGCAAGGTCAGGAGCCAGCCGAATCTGCTCGAGATGGAAGGCGGGTACCAGCGTCTGGTGAGGTGGAACTTCGCTTGCTATATTCGGGCTGGAGCGGACAGAGAGTGAATATTGAGGGCGTGTCCAATCGAGGGCTGATCCGAAGCAGCGTCACCGAGGCTCTGCTATACCGAGAAGACGACGGCTTGGGCTGGATGGCGTTGACGGGTGCCGTGTGTGGTGCAGACAGGCTGCCCCCTTGCAAAGCTTGCGGATCAGTCGCTCTTCGGCTGGGCGATCCGAGCAACCTCGTTTCAGAGATCTCCATTCTCGGCCTACCGTAGCAGAGGGGAGTGAAGGGCCAGCGCTTGCGAATATGAAATATGTCCAACTGGCGCACCGCTCGAGATGGTAATTCACATGCCATTGGCAACAAATACCGTTTCCTACCTATATCCCTACCCGATCTTCTACGCCCTTCACCCACCATCAAACCTATTTCGAGGTCTTCGATGCCCGGAGGCATAGTTGTCAGGCCGTCAGTAGTGTCACGTGGCCCACTGCCTACACCTCAAAGTCGTCGAAAGGGAGGTTGAGCCCCGCGCCGAGATCGGCACCCTATCTCTCCACCAAACTCATCAACGAGCTCCCGCCTGTCGTGACTCCTGAGGGTTTCTCCTCGGATGATGCAGGGTCAAAAAGCACCATGCGACCAACCAGTCGGAACACTGCGATAAACCTATCTCACCAGCTCGGTCATGTGAAAGCGGAAAGCTTGACGCGGGCATGTGTGTTCGCGTCTCGTACAACCAGCCTTTCCGCAGGCGATCTAGATGACGCCACGCCCAAGGCATACCATTTGTTCGCGCTACACTAAGCGGCTAATGTGTCGGTCGGCCACTCGTTCGCGGGCTTGGGGCGAGGGGAGGAGCCTCCAGTGACGTCTCGAGCGAGCTGCTTGAGGAGGCGCATCACAGCGAGGTAAGGTAGGTATTTCTTTGTTTACTTGGTGTGCTACTCCTTCCTCCTGCTGTCCCTCCTCCATCCTCATTCGAAAGACTGCAATTGGACTCTCAGCGTGCCATTTTCCACACGAAACCAGCAAAAGATACTCGCAACAAAGATGTCGAACCTACCATCCGAGCCGGAATTCGAGCAGGCGTACAAGGGTGAGAGAAGCCATTGAGCACGCGAGCATCTGCCACAGCATGCTGAGACCTTCCACAGAGCTTGCGTCGACGCTCCAGAACAGCTCGCTGTTTGAGAAGCACCCAGAGTACAAGAAGGCTCTCCAGGTCGCCGCCATCCCCGAGCGTGTGATACAATTCAGAGTCACCTGGGAGGATGACAAGGGCCAGGTGCAGGTCAACCGTGGCTTCCGCGTCCAATACAACTCCGCTCTTGGGCCGTACAAGGGTGGTCTCAGATTCCACCCTTCAGTCAACCTTAGCATCTTGAAGTTCCTGGGCTTTGAGCAGTGCTTCAAGAATGCGCTTACCGGCTGTACGTGCTCAGAACCGACGTGGAGAGAGCATTTGAGAGCTGACGATACCCGCAGTGTCCATGGGCGGTGGCAAAGGAGGTGCCGATTTCGACCCGAAGGGCAAGTCGGACAACGAGATCCGCAAGTTCT